ATTTCAACTCAAAACCCGATTGTTCCAAGAAGACTATTCTTAGTTACTAAAAATTACTATTCTAGCAACTTCCTCCTGAACTGCTATTCCACATATTCAGCTATGTCGATCGCACAATCGCGCTCAATTGTCGAACAGTATGTAGTCGATGGCAGCGAATTATGGACAAAAATATACTGAAAAGCGGGTTGTTTGCACCTTTTGAGGTAAAAGACGAATTCTTTCTAATATTAGAGTTATCGTTGATGGTATATTGCAGGTGTCCCGCCTTGTAATCAGTGGGCTGCCTCAAAAAGCAGTGGAATTTCGATGGGTAACCTATAAATCGCAGCAATCGCGTGCCATAATCATACCATATGCGCAAATATGTTGTGGAGTGGATTTTGGGTTCAATTTTAGAACATTCGTTATAAAACGACTTATATTGAAGGTAATTTCGAACATTCATGGGTAAACAATGAAATTCATAAAAGAATATTTGGCTAAAAATTAAAAATTCAGGATCTCAGTCTGACCGATAAACTCATCGAGTTTTTGCGTGTTCAACTTGACCATAGCGACATTTCCTCTCTAAAAGAGCTCTCCCTACATTCAGTAGACTTTTCAAGCTCCAATTCACTAACCCTACATCGGCTTCTGGCCATCGTTGGCAAGTACATAGAAATATTCGAGGTAAAGATGAGCGGCATTTACGAAATTAGCAAAACCGGAGAATTTCAGCTAGATCAATCGAAAGGAATGCGTCCTGACAGCGTAACCGACGCACACGTAGCGCAATTAAACGTGGCAACATTACGTCGTGTTGTTATTGACGGCGTCCGCTTCGTAAATCCACGTCGTGGCGCAGTTCTACAAGTTGGCAACGACTCACTTTTGCGATTTATAGCGCACAAGAACTTTCCCACGTTGCTACTGGATCGCTGTAATGTTACGACGAATATGGTCTGTGACTACACTGAGGTGAGATGGGAGTATTTAGCAAAGTTTTGATATTATGTAATGCACGATAAGTCACAAATTTGGGAACTCTGTTCTTTAGTTGAAACCGAAGATTTGTATTCGAATAAAATATTCGAACATTTCGAATAATTCGA